AGGCGTACTCCGCATCGAACAGCTTGTGGCCCCATCGGATGCTCTCGGCGGGGGTGGCAGATAGAAGGAGGTGGGTGAGAGAGTTGCGAGCGATTTCCGGGCGATCACTACCTTTGCGATGGCTACTATGGGTAATCTTGCCAGATTTGTCTCGAATAATCACTTCCTCGCTGCAGTCTGTGGTGAGCTCCTTGAACTGATCCCACAAGCCGCACGCACGTATGGCGGCAAGTCCAGCATCGACATGGAGATCCAGCATGCCAGATGGAGTGGTGAGAAGGACATCGGCGGGTTTGTCTCGCAATTCGTAAATGACAAAGGGAATATCCTGCTTGTGGAGAAGCACACCAAGGCAGAGACCAGATGGGCCACCGCCTACTATGGCAATGTTAGGTAGAGTTTTCGATGGAGACATGATATGTGGGTTAATGTGCGTCTGAGTCGTAAAGTGAGATGTGAAAGGTGAGTGAGATTTGAGTAAAGGATAGTCGGTGTGCGAGCGAGTCTCTTGTATGTAAAAGATTTTGCGGACGGCAAACAGGTTAACGAATTGGTGTGACGAGTGGGCAGTTTGTGTTCGCGGATGTATGAGGTTGAGCAAACAACTGTCACTATTCTGTGCTATGTTGTGCTATGTTGACTGGGTGCTTTTATGGAGTGATTAATGGCAAAGTCGTTGCACAGAGACAGTGTTATAGAACTGAGACTTGGTGGTATGGGTCTTGAAGATCAGATCGATGAACATGTCGGAGGCGCCTGAAGGTTTAAGTAGATCAAATGACTATTGGAATGACGAAATGCAAGGGGGATACAAGACTTGATAGAGATCCGTAAGGGCTGAAGCTTAGCTTACACCGTCTTGGAGACAATAGGTGGTGAAGCTCTCCTGGTCCCATTATTGTCATCATGGGTTCTGTTTGCTTTGATGCTCTTGGATCTACAAGTCAGCTATCAGATAGTCTGGATCGTGAAAATTTAAACACTAGTACTGAACAGTGTAAGAGAATTGGACACAGAATCGCTTGGCGAATTTGTTGGCAACAAACATTTTTGATGCGACTGAATCAGTTCGTCTTTGGACATCTGCGGACAACTCCATACTCGTGCACCCCCTTTTGTCTTTACAGGTTAACAGTGCGATGCTCAAGTCAAGACTAAACCCAATACAGACATACCGGCTCTGCAATGTGGGTGATGTGATCAATTCAATCTCGGCAAGAGCCGTTCACCGTTCATGCTATCACAGTGACCGCCAACTCATCCCCTTGTACGGAGAAACCGCACGTGACTCTCGGCTCCCCCTCCTTAGCCGAAGGAACAACTCGGCACCGAATCCGTCTTGGTGCTAAACTGCTGACTAAGGGCAAAAAAAAATTGGGTGCAAATTGGCAAGTGCCTCTTACGACGGAGCAACCTCGGAGAACCGAGTCGTCGCTTCGGATCAGAAGGTAAGTAACGGCTTCAAGTCCTTCAACTTACTCGCGGATATCGTACTTACGATGGTTTGGGAATAGCATCATCGTATCCAAAAATGAAAATCTCCATATAAATCAGGTATATAATAGCATGTTGCTGGAGCAGTAAATAACATTTACAAAGATCTTTACCAACCATAAGATTCCATTACCCTACACACGTCACCGGAAAATGACCATCCGTCACCTCGCTCATCTCTCCAGGAGCATCCAACCACTTAATACTTTAACTAAAAGAACCATGTCGTCCTCGTCAAAGATGTTGGCGGCCGCAGAAAGCAACACCAAAAAGGACTGGTCAGCCGCTCAGTATCTCAAATTCGGTTCACAGCGCACCAGACCCGCTCAAGACCTCCTGAACCAGGTCCCGCTCGCCTCCCCCAAACGCATCATCGACATTGGTTGCGGACCCGGAAACTCCACCGAAATCCTCGTTTCCAGATACCCGGACGCACAGATATCAGGCATTGACTCCTCGCCCAATATGATTGAGACGGCCCGCAAGGCACTACCTGGTCTGCAATTTACCGTTGCGGACCTCAACTCGTATACACCGGAAGAGCCCGTCGACCTCCTCTTCTCCAACGCCGTTTTGCATTGGATCAAGTACGATGAGCGTGTCGAGGTGATGAAGCGGCTAGTCCGATCGTTGAAACCTGGAGGCGTGTTTGCCATGCAGGTTCCCGACAACTTTACGGAAAAGTCTCATGAGGCGATGCGCACGGTGTCCGAGACTGGCCCTTGGTCGGAGCTCCTTGGTCGCCTTAACCCTTCTCTTGGACCGTTCCAGACAACTCAAGACCTGTACAATGAGCTGAAGCCGCTGTGTTCGTCTGTTGACCTGTGGCATACGTACTACAACCACCCACTGGGCAGCCATCAGGAAATTGTGGAGTGGGTAAAGGGGACTGGATTGAAGCCGTTCGTTGATCCTCTCGGTCCCGAAGAAAAGGAGGGATTTCAGGCAGCATATCTGGCACGTTTGAAGGAGCTGTATCCATTGTCATCGGATGGGACGGTTCTCTTGCGGTACCCTCGCCTATTCATGGTGGCAGTTCGTGCTTGAGGCTTGCAGATAGAGAATTGTATATATTGTCTATTCATGCAATATCATATGAATCCAATTACAGCTTTGCCATGAGTGACCTATTCATTCGCAGTCTTGCCAGCGCAGCAAGACCAGCAGCACCGACAGCCATGGATCCGGCATAGAAGATGGCTGGTCGGTATGCTTGGAAGCCCTTTTCGGTCCCGCCATAGGCGTCAAGTAGGTATCCGGCAATGGGTGCACCCTATTTGTAACAGACCATTAGACAATGTTGCACATAAAAACTCGTGACGCTCTCAACTTACCATCAAGTAACCTCCGCCCCAGCCCGTGACAATCATCGCCATTGCTACCGACACTCTTTGTGAACCAAACACGTTGCCCACCACTGTTGGCATGGTGGAAAAGAAGCCACCGTTGGCCGCACCGTTGATCACCACAAAGGCTGCCAATGGAGCAAGTGTCGTAGACTCTGGCCAGAGGGCCAACATGCTAACAGCATTCAGAGACAAGGAGAGAAGCAACGTATTGAGCGCCCCCAATCTATCGCAGAGAAAGCCGCAGAGGATTCTGCCGACCGCAGAGGAGAAGTTGAAGCCTGCCAAAAGACCAGCTCCGGTAGACGATGATAGGCCGATGGAAGTACTGTAGAGGGGTAGGAAGAAGGGTGGCACGAGGAGGGGGAATGTCGCAATGGCTCCGACGGCAAAGATGACGATGAATCCCATATCTTTGAACAGTTTCCTAAAACTTGTGTTAGCTATCCGTGTTGCATGAAACATGGAGTAGGTAGTAGTTGCGTACCACTCAACGAAGCCCGGGGACTTGACGGGAGACCGTTCCTTGACAAACCACGCAGCGGGAAGGCCGGTCGCAAGAGTCGCAAGTCCCAAGACACGATACGTCCACGCGGGTCCCAGGCTATGAATCATGGCATCCAGAGCGAAACTCGTGACGGCTCCCCCAAGCCCCCCGCAGCAAACACGATTCCGTTTGCCAAACCTCGCTTGCGACTAAAGTACTGCGCCGGCGTGGCGGACACGGTCATGAAACACAGGCTAATGCCCATACCCATCATGACGCCGCTAGTGAGGAAGAGGCCGGCAATGTTATGCATGGTGAAGCTGCTGAGGATCTCGGATATGCCCATGAGGGTGACGCCCAGCATGCCCGTCTTGCGGGCGCCGATGGTGCGGATGACTCGGGCGTTGAGGATGGCCATGAAGGCGATGAAGGCAATGGCCAGCGAGCCAATGTAGGATAACGTGGCGGGTGATGAGACGCCATTTTCGACGAGGACTCCTTGGATGACGCCCCAGCTGTAGCTCGTTCCAACAAACTGAAGAACAACATTGTCAGCAAGTACTGAAAATGATGGTGTTTCCGGGATAAAGAGGTAGGTTTACGCACCCACCAGGTGATGACCGCGCAGCCGGCAATAATCACCCACCCGTACCCGCCATCAGGAACAGTCGCATCAGCTAAACGTGATGCCTCGAGTACATCATCGGACCCGTCGGGGGTGCTAGAATGATCCACAGCCGGGTGAGGCTGGCCGTGTCGCGCGAGGTCACCCAGTGAGACATGGTAGAGTTCCACCGCGGTGGTGGTTGACGTCGCCATATCTTGTCCGCTCGCTCAAGTATTGTTCTGAAACACACAATTGAGAGTCAAGATATGGAGTATTTGACAAGAAGAAGAGGAGTTCTTGTTATTTGTTTATTTTATTTTCATTTTCTTGGGGTCCGATTTCGCCCTTGTTATGACACCATTTGGCTCTTGATCATTAATCAACAATGCAGACAAAGGTGACGGGCCAACCAGCTTGCATGGCCACGTTCATCAACATCTCCAGACAAGATGGATGATTATCAGATCCACCTCACTCTCTTCAAGTCTTTGAGTGTCTGATTAAAGTCGATGGCGCAGAGACATTGATGAACGCCATGTCGGGAGAGGCGTGCCGGGACGAAATGATTATGAATGGTCTTCGGTCCCGAAGTTGGAGTCGGCAGTGTTGGAGTCAGGAGTACAGTGTAACAGGTTACTTATGGAAGCTGAAATGGGCGATACTCGTGCGTATGGTAATGTTTTCGGTTAGGATTTCTTTCATCTTGAGAGCTCTAATGTCATGTTGAGAAAAGTAGGCGCCTTTGATAATGCAGTGAAGCTATTATCGACTTTGTGCAGTCGTTAATACTTGCATTGCTAAAACATATCTATCTACTTAAATACCTTTTGTTTTTTGGGGGAAATTCTCGGATTCAAGTCTCTAAACGAATCCATATTGGCATTCTTATAATATCCATTCATTACTCCAAAAAGACCAATGCCTACACTGTAAAGAAAACCAATCTTTATTGTTCACTGCTCTCTTTCCTACCCCACATACCTCCATTTCCCCCACGTCCATGTCTTTTCCTTTCCACCCGTATGTACGCCATTATGAAAGACACCATCACACATCACATTCCTAGGCATCGTTGGTCTAGGGGTTAGGATCCAACCCTTCCATTGGTACTCCACAATGGTCGCTAGGTTGGGGCTCGGGTTCGAGTCCCGAACGATGCATCTTCTTTTTTTGCTTCATTCTTCTAACTAAGCACTATTCAATCAATAATGATACAAACGTGGGCTTTTTTATTTTATTTTTAACTGTTGAATGGGGTCTCGTATGGTGGCTCTGCCTGTGGCGTGATTCGAGCGAGATGTCGCCTCTGTCCAGTTTCCCAATCCACCAGTGCGCTGTGCTGGGTCACTCGGTTGTCCCAGACAACAACTGTTCGATCCTCCCACTTGACGCGCACATGGAAGTCGGCGCCAAATGCTAGATGCTCATACAGAAATTTGAGAAGGGCGTCTGATTCCTCCTTCTTTAGGCCAACAATGTCACGAGTGACTGTGCACACATGTTAGCGAAACAGTCTGTCAAAAGTGGTGATGATGACGGGGGCACTTGCATTGCGAGTTGACGTATAGGGACTTGTCACCAGTAGCTGGGTGTGTTCGTACAATGGGGTGAGAATTAACGACGGGGTCTCTTCGCTTGATGCTGTTCCGCGCCGCTGCAGCTTCGACTTGTTCGATGCCAGAGTGCGTCGCCTTCAGGCCGTGCAAGCGCTCCTGGAAGAGTGGGCTCAGTCGCTTATACGCCTGCACGGTATCCACAAAGATGGTATCGCCTCCCGTCTCTGGCTTGTCGAGGATGTACAAAAACGTCGTCCCCGGAGGCTGCTTTTCGTAAGAGACATCCGAGTGCCACGCTACGGAGCTGGTCCGAGTCCGAAAGTACTCCTCGTGGGCCTTGTCGCCCGCGCCGCGATGCACGAGGTGGATCTCGGGATGGCCCTCGGGCGAGCCGGAAGTCGGGTGGATGTGGTGGCGGCCAAAGTAGCCGCCGAATGCGAGGGCGTCGGGGATGGAGAGGTCGGCAAAGTCCTGGCCGCGGAAGGCTACGACTTTGCGCTTGGCTACGAAGTGGGCGAGTTCGTCCTTGCCCGCGTCTGAGAGGGAGGATAGCTGGATGCCCTTGACTTCGGTGCCGATGGTCGGGGTGAGGTCGGTGACGGTGGTGGTGCCCTTGGGTAGGAGGTTGGGATACGATGTGTCGGCGTCCTTGCCGTGCTCATAATGGGTAAAGGGCTCCAGAGGTGGGTATTTCTGTTCTGGGTTCCATGTTGGGAGGTAATTGATGTACTAAGAGTATCGACGTTAGCATTGCTACCATGATGCTAATGATTCCATGGCAATGGTAATGGCAATGGTGATGATGGATAACGGGGAGACGTACCGTAGCTGCAGGCTCACCAGTCTTTCCAGTCTCTACATCCTTGTCTACATGAGTGTTATCGATTTCCTTGTACTGCCCCCGCCCGAGGTGCACTTTGTAATTTATTGGAATGGTAGCCTCGGCTTGGGCACCTGTTTCAACCAACGACGGCGCCATTGTTTACTGATTGTTGATATCGCGTATGCTATGAATAATGTGAAATCAAAGTGCCTTTGCTCCGTCTTGGGGTATCATCGCATGTCCCTTTTATATATCCATTGATCCCTTGCCTCGGGCTATCATTGTCTCAGTCGTTGGGGTTGTTTCGTCATGACGGTTCCCCCGCCCCCGCAATGGCATGCTACCGTGCATCCTATGGCGAATCAGCTTTATCGTCCAATCACTCACGCCGACAGAATTATGGCTCTTCATTTTACCATTATCATTGTTGTTATTCGATACCTCTGATTCTGGGCAAACTGGCTGGTGGATGGAGGTTTCATCTAATCGTGCAGCAGACATGAGGGGTTGATGCTATCATTGGTGCGGATCACGCAATCCCTCCCTCCTCGAGCGGCACCTCTTGGATGCCGCCTTGCAGCTCGCCAACCAAAAGCAGTGCTGCTACGTGAGGATGAAGCACGCAATGTGGATTAATCGCTGCTTAACTGTTTATAATGTTTTCCGATGATCGGATTAACGTTATCAGCTTCCTATGTTGGCAATGGTGGCGGATGATGACACATTCTATCCATATAACCTGGCTATACAGTACCTTGCATCAATAGGTAGACAGTCACCCTTAGTCGTTCAACATGGTTGCAGGATGGGTATGTTCAAAGAATAGAGTGAGATTACAAATGATTCGTGGGTACATCGCCCGAGCCTCGGGCTATCGGTATCATGCAGACATGGGGTAATCGTGCATCCTCATTTACAGTGTGTGCAAGCATCACGTTAATTCAAGTACACCACAGCAATTCATGCAATCACCAATGAATCGCGGTCGCACAAAATCACATTTTCACTCATAATATATCAAGAAACTGTGAGTATTGTGAGACAATTGGTCTCTCTATATGACTATGCCATTACTATGACAGGCTTGCTCGATTGGCCTGCTCGATTGGCATCATGCTGATCCATTTCATCATGATGCAACTACAACTATAGATGCCTCTAATAACCAAGAGTTATCCGCATCACCTCCCATGTCCTTAACCCCGTACCGCCCGGTTACATACTCTCTTCCTGGACTGGAATGCTTCACACCCCCGCCTAGACATTGCCCCTCCTCCTCTCGCGATTCCAAAAGGCTCGCAACACAAACACCATGACAAGCATGCCCACATCGAGGGCTATGGTCCAATTGTATCCGATGAGATAGCGTGGTGCATTGGTAGTCTTCCAAATCCTATACCAATCCGTTAGTAACATTGCCCTCTCCGTGGGACTTGGACCCAACTTACACCAAGGGAAGAAACGTATTGAACATGTTCCCAACCGTGTTCATACTGCTGATGACGATGACACGCTCCTCTGCATTTCTAGTGCAGATCTCGTTTGCCCATGCATAGATGACCGCCGCTATCCCATCCGCAGACCCGGAAAGAAAAAAGGCAAAGAACTTGAGGTATATTGAGACATCCCAGATGGCTAGTACCGCTGCTGCAAACATGTTGAAGATGGCCGTGATGGCGATCAATGACACCTTTTCATCGTATGCATCCGAGATAATACCGCATATAATCGCGGCTACGATGGCCACTGCGGGCAACACCGTCGAAATGGCGTTGATGGACTCCACGCCGAAGTTTTCTGCCTTGAGCCACAACGGAAATCCGCTGTAGGTCGATACACCGTCGGCTTGGGAGAAGAAAAAGGAGAAGGACACTAGGACTCGGAAGTGCCAGCCAGAAATTACTCTCTTTATCACAGTCCAGGTAATCTGCCTTCTCGGCTGTCGGTTCTCAGATGCCATTCGATAGCGGGCAAGGTCGATATCTTGCTGTGTCAGGATGAAGGGCTTGCAGTTGTCTGGATGACCGGGCAATACGATGAAGCCAAGAATAGCCACAGGTATTGTGTAAACAAAGCCTGTTGTTAACATAATTAGCCTCTTGTCATCTCCACGGCATCGGATATGATGTGCTCACAAATGATGTATAGCCAACGCCACCCCTCAATGCCATACTTTCCATTCAGATGCGCATACGCCCCATCTTGTATGTACCCAGCACTCATGGCACCGACCTGACTTGCTATGAAGAATAGGGCTCCTCGTCTGCCGAGTTCAGATCGCTTGTACCAGCATCCAAGATACCATTGCACGGCGGGGAAGAAAAGACTGCCAGCTGCGCCAATGAAGAAGCGAAGGACATAGAGTTTGTGCACGTCGCTGACCTTGTACTGAGCCAGCGTCAAGATGCCCCAGATGAGATCGGCTCCTGGGATGAAGTAGCGGGCAGAGAATCGAGTCATCTGCAACAGTTAGCCAAAACAAAACTATCGCGTCGAGTCTGCGGGGGGCAGCGTACCAGGACAGTCAGGGGAATTTGCAGTGTGGTGTATCCAATCCTGAAAAGATCTTAGTATGATTTCCGGTCGAAGAAGCTGATTACCTAAGTACTTACATATAGATGGCCTTGAGATAGTTCAATTCGTCTCCATACAGCTTCAAGTCCTCCTTCATACCACTGACGTACGCGATTTCGGTAGCCGAGGAATCGAGAACCTTGGCCCAGTATGCCAAGAAGACAAAGATCATGATGCAAGCATCCAACTTGAGGATCAAGCGCCTCTCCTCGGGTGTATCGCCAGGGGCGAACCACTGATACCACTTCTGTCGTGGTGGGTTGACTTCCAGGGCCGGCCAGGCAATTGTGTCGGTCTCGACGTTGCGAGCTCTCACTTCTGATTGAGCTCTTGGGCCTCCAGCAGCAGAATTCATTGCTGGTTGCAAACGTGGCATCATCTCGATGGGATGATCCATCTCTAGTGATCTATATTAGATCGAATTGTTGTCTTGGTGTTGTTGTTTTGATGTTCTGCTGTTGTGGTTGAGTGCTCAAGTTTCCCTCGAAGAAAATGGATTTTAGATCACGCAATGCAGTCTTCCCTGGCAACTTGAAACGAATAAAATCTATCCAATCATTGCGTCCTATTAGCCTAGAGTAAGGACCCGCTTCTGCACAAAACAAACAGTTTACAAGGTAACCATTTATTATCCATTATCTGGCACGATACACAGCCAGTTCAAGTTCGAACGCAATGCTTAATTGTAGAGAAGAGCTTTGTCCAACTTTAACCTTGCAACTATGATAGTAATTCTTACAAAGGAATGATTTATCCTCTATCATCCAATATCATGCTATTGCTCGCACCCCTTTTCATGACTACATATCCAATTTACCATGACACCCCCAATAACCCCCGACACCACCTTTCCTACCTAGTTCCTCTGAAGGTAAAACTTCCCTCTATACAACGGACAAGTCGAGCTCATCTTCAAAATCTGCCAAATACGAAGGCGTCCGAAACTTCCACACGAGAAAGCAAGAGGTGGGAAGCGCAACCCTGCATTGTTTGAGCTTCTGCATGTTGCATATGGGTCCATCCAAAACCTTTAGAAGTGCTTTTGTCCAAAGAAATGCTCGGGACGAGAAGACTGAAAAACCTGGACGAAGCAAGTCTCCATTAGGGATAGGTAGAAGAATTTGGCATTCGGGAACGTTCTTGGGAGTAGCTCTGTAGCTGTGATGAAGTCGTGGGTTGGCGGGATACATGTGTTCGAAGGCCCCGA